GAAATCTGCTATATTCTTTTTCATATCGTTCCACCAATAAACCTCCTTAAGATCGTGATACATCTTTGTGGAACCGGGGTGAATAGAATACCTAGAATTGTGGGCTTCTGACATAATCCTCTCTCTGAGCCCATCTACGTTTGGTACACATAGTCTGCCTCTGTCTCTCAAGGTACCATCATCTCCCCCTTGTTCAAAAGCCATAGTCTTGTGTTTGTGAATTCCCTCCTTCAGCTCCAATAAGTAGGGATCACTGAACTGTTTTTCCTTCACTTCAGCTACTAAGGAGGATTCAGCCCTGTTCTGGAGAACAACGCCACCATCTTCGGAGTCCAAAAGTCGAACTCCTAGTCTTGCTAAGCGGTGGACTTCCTTCACCATAACTTGCTTGTCTGCCTCAACATGAGCTAAGCTGCCCATAGAACGCCGACTGAGAGCATCGGCTACAACATTTGCTTTTCCTGGATGATAGAGGATATCAACATCATAATCTTTAAGTAATTCGAGCCACCTTCTCTGACGTAGATTTAATTCTCTTTGCTTGAAGATGTACTGGGGGCTCTTGTGATCTGTAAAAATGTCAACATGTACCCCATACAAATAATGGCGCCAGATGTTAAGCGCAAACACAATGAGTCGGATAATTCTTCTCATGAGCCTTGAGTTGTCTCGACGCGTAGGCTATGACTTTACCGTGCTGCATTAATACACACCCAAGACCAACCCCTGAAGCATCACAATAAACAACGAACCCCTCGGTTCCTTCCGGTAGTGTCAGGACTGGAGCTGAAGTCAATCTCTTCTTTAGCTCCTCAAAACTTTTCTCGCACGTGTCTGACCATTAAAACTTGACTTTCTTCTGAGTTAATCTAGTTAAAGGGAACGAGATAGAAGAAAATCCCTCTACGAAACGCCTGTAATAGCCTGCTAGACCCAAGAAACTTCTTATATCGGATACTGAGGTGGGTCTAGGCTAATTCTTCACTACCTCTATTTTCTGAAGTCCACCTTCACGCCTTCCCCTGAGATGACATGGCCCAAAAATGCTACTAATTTCAACCAGAATTCACACTTAGAAAATTTTGCATATAGCCTGTGATCCTGCAGTGTCTGCAACACAATTCTGAGATGTTTGGCATGGTCAGTCTCGCTACCGGAATAAATCAAGATGTCATTAATAAACACGATAACAAACAAATCAAGATAAGGCTTGAAGACCCTATTCATCAGGTCCATAAAAGCTGCTGGTGCATTCGTTAAACCAAATGACATTACCAAAAATTCGAAATGCCCATATCGAGTCCTAAAAGATGTTTTTGGAATATCAACTTCCTTAACCTTCAACTGATGGTATCCCGATCTGAGGTCAATCTTGGAATAACACAGGGCACCCTGAAGTTGATCAAATAAATCATCTATTCTGGGAAGAGGGTACTTGTTCTTGATGGTGACTTTATTCAACTGACGATAGTCAATGCACATACGCAAAGACCCATCCTTCTTTCGGACAAACAAGACCGGTGCGCCCCAAGGTGAGACACTTGGCCTAATAAATCCCTTATCTAGAAGATCTTTCAACTGGACTTTTAGCTCTTTCAACTCTGTTGAAGCCATTCTGTAAGGCGGAATAGATATCGGCTTAGTGCCTGGAAGTAGATCAATTCCAAAGTCAATCTCTCTATCGGGAGGGATTCCAGGGATATCTTCGGGAAACACTTCTGGAAACTCATTCGCAATAGGTACCGACCGGAGAGTGGGGATCTGAGCATCTGCATCCTTAACTCGAACCAGGTGATAGATATATCCCTTGGAGATCATCTTTCTGGCTTTAAGGTAGGAAATAAACCTACCCCTAGGTGTTACTGCATCACCCTTCCATTCTAAGACTGGTTCACCGGGAAATTCAAAACTTACTATTTTGGTTCTACAACCCACTTTGGCATAACATGACTCTAACCAATCCATGCCCATGATCACATCGAAGTCTAACATCTCCAATTCTACTAAGTCTGCTATAGTAAGACGATGACGCACTTTAACTGGACATCCCCTATAGATACACCTTGCTATAACTGATTCTCCAACTGGAGTGGACACTTCAAAGGGTTCACACAACTTTTCTGGTTCTATCCCAAATTTCTTTGCGATATATGGGGTTACATAAGATAGGGTGGATCCCAGATCTATAAGAGCATAGACATCAAAAGTGAATATTGTTAGAATACCTGTGACAACATCTCCACGAGCCTCTATATCCTGACGGTCTGCCAGTGCATATAAGCGGTTTCGTCCACCGCCTGTATTATTAGACTTTGCTGCGCCGCACCCTTGCTGAGCCTGAGAGTTATGATGGGCTGCTGAATTAGTGGACTGAGCTACATTGCCTCCATTATTCTGCTTTGCTGATGGACAATCCCTCAAGAAGTGGCCCTGCTGACCGCACCCAAAGCAACCATTTGTGCCCAAACGACACACCCCTGGATGCTTCTTACCACACGTGCTGCAAATAGGGTACTCCAGGCCTCTGTAGCCCACACTAGTCTGTGACTGTGAACCTGCTGCTATGAAATTTTGGTTTTTCTTGTTAAACTTGGACCTCTGAACCGGTGCACTAGCTGAAGATGGAGCGGGTCCTAATTTTGTTTTCCTGAAGAACTGGCGATTGCCTCCTGCTTGAGATCCCCCATGGCTGAAATTTCCTGCAGACTTAGCTCTCTTGCTGAATTCCCTGTCTTTCTATTTCTGTAGCCGCTCTTCTTCTTTCAACCTGTCTTCGTTCCCTTGAACAAAGGCAACCATCTTAGTGATGGTCATGTCATTATTCTGAGCAGCTATATTAGCATCAGCAAATAAATCATCTGAAAGCCCCAACACAAACCGCCTAACTCTGGCCCTCATATCACGTACCATTTCTGGAGCATACTTGGCCAGAGAGACGAACTTGAGGTAGTACTCATTCACACTCATATCATTCTGTCTGAGTCTCTCAAACTCCAAAGGCTTAGCTTCCAAGACCTCAATGGGTAGAAAGTGCTCAAGGAACGCATCTGCAAACTCCTTCCAAGTCGCAAGATCTGCATCCTCCCCTCGGGACTCTTCTCATGTTTCATACCACGTGTTGGCAACATCCTTCGGCTGGTACACAGCAAGCTCTGCTGCCTCAGTGTCTGTAGCATGCATCACTCGAAATATCTTCTGAACCTCATCAATGAAGTTTTGCGGATCCTCATCCTTTTTGGAGCCTGTGAAGACGGGAGGTTTCATGTTGAGGAATTCCCTAGACCTAGAACTACCCGTCTCATGAACATCACTTGTTCCCTGCCTTTGAGCCTGGGTAGCAACAATCTGGGTGAGCAACTGGATAGCTCCCCTGACATCCATGTCTGAAGCACTGGGCATTGAGCCCGGTGCAACCCCCTAGGCCGGAGTGTCCTCCTCCTGAGCAGCATTAGTTGTGGCCCCCTGGCTAGCAGCTGAGGCCCTCCTGGTGTACTTTCTTTTTGCAGGCATTTTTCTGAAATACGCAATTCGCACGGGTTAGAAAGATTCCTGAAAGCATAACTCTAACTGCATGATCTAGAGTATGAAAGAAATGGAACAATCCAAGATGTCTTGGTGGTCAACTGTTTACATGTGTGGCGCGCACACACACATAAAAGAGACCCCACTGGACACGGCTTCATAGACTCCCTAGGGCTCTTGAACCTAGGGCTCTGATACCAAGCTTTGTCACGCCCCGAACCATGGCCTGGGCGTAACGCGGCACTCGGTGCCTGACTGCATATGACCGAGCGAACCAACTGTATGGCTGGATCAATATGTGGTATAACTATGAGCTAGAGGTAAATGTAAAACATGATAATCTGCTAAAAAGTCTGATTGAAATATCATAGATGCGGAAAATACTGAAAGGTCTGCAAGTATAAGCAAGTAGCCGACAAGGCTAACACATGAAAGCCTGCTAATATCTGACTGACTGGGTTATAGTCTACGAAGCCTCTAAGGAATACTAAAAATGCCAACTATTTACCGGGACAAGGTCCCCGGTATACCTTATTAACTGAAATACTATAATGACTAAAACAAAAGAGAGATAAGGCCCCAAAAGACTGGGGCTCACCAACAGCGGATACGAGATGTCCTAACAAGAAGAATCGTCAACGATGCAGGCCCGGGGCAAAAGGGACGTCAGTACATTTGTATTACAGTAGTACGTAAGATAGCTGAACAAAAGAGCTGTAATGTAAATAGTGAAACTGAAATTGAACTGCTAGCTGATAAACTGATAACTGAACAAGGAAGTAAGGATGTGAGTACTCCCTCTTCTGAATGATGAACAACCTGTTTAACTGAATATTAAACTGCGGCCTCAGGCCCAATATATATATATATATATATATATATATATATGTGTGTGTGTGTGTGTGTGTGTGTGTGTGTGTGTGTGTGTGTGTGTGTGTGTGCGCACAACTGCGGCCTCGGGCCCAAGTATACATATACATAACTGCGGCCTCAGGCCCAAAGATGCATAAAGCATAAACTGCAGCCTCAGGCCCAAATACAGGTGTT